TCTTCTTCTTCTTCTTCTTCTTCTTCTTCTTCTTCTTCTTCTTCTTCTTCTTCCACGCATCTACTACCTGCATCCGATGTCGGCGAGCCAAAGAGTCCAGGGATACCTTCTCCCTCTTCAGTTCTTCCATCTCCTCCTGGAGCCGCCTGTAGACCACATGAACAGACACATCATTTTATTTTCTTCATAATGACATCTTTGACGTCCTCCTGGTAGGATAATTTTATTGTCCGAAGTTTTGTTGAAACTGGGTCGAAAGATGACCGAGTTTTTGTCCCTTAAAGGGGTCCTTTTTGGTTTGTTTTTTGTTTTTTGTTTGTTTATTTAAACACCCGGTAGCTTACAAGGAGCATGTGTATAGATGGGATTTACAATCCCTTTTCCAACGCTTAGACTTCACTTAATAGGGGACGCTTCCATAATTATCCTTACATTAATAACTTATTGAGCAGTACATGTAGTTGTACCCACTATCGGCTTGGAAACCCGCTACACTTTCACCATCGTTTTATGTTTTGGTAAAAGTTTTACGGCACTTTCACCACTTTAAGGTAATATCATAAGTGCCAAAGTAACATGGCATTGCTCACCTGACATACGCCTCGTCAGATGTGACCCAGTCTTTAAGTGGGTTGTATATCCTCGGGAAAACGTCCAGAGAGAGACCCATGTAATGAACGGCTCGGGGGAAGTTTGTGATGAAATACTCCAGGTTTATTGCGGTGTCTTTGATGTTTCTCATGATGTCATCTGGGAAAAATGATACATGAGGCAAATAAAGGACGTTGAAGTCTTTGGAGAATACGAAGCGAAACCAAAACTTCCAGTCTTTCTAAAAGGAATAAGCTGTTGAAGAGAAAAGCCTACTGTAATTTACCATAATTAGCAACGATATCATCATTACCGCCCGAATAGGACAGCAGCAACAACAACAGCATTAACAACAAAAGCAATAGCAATGATAAACAAGGACAAAATTCAATCGACCAACAAGCTACAGTGCGTCAAAAATTCGTGGCGCAGCTTATTGTCAAATATCACCTTACCTATCGAACATAGATTCTCCAATTTATGCACAATGACTTTTTATTAATGTTAATTGGTCTGAACTGTTGAATATTTTTTCAAACACCAGTACACTATTTTCTAGAAATCTCTTTAATAAATACTACCCCCACCCCCTTAGTCGATGATTTCTACAGATCTTAAAAAAGTTTACAACTGGCGCAATGTTGCTTTCAAAAGCAAGTCCGTATATTTTTCAAATCGCAACATACGCATTTTTTGAGAGCTTTTTGTGCAAAAACTGTGTTAACTATAAAATTTAGTTTCTCGTAACAAGTTTTGCCACAAAAAGTGTCATTGGTGAAGTGTGATGTAGGCCATATGAGTATGCAAAATGTGTGCGAGAAGTGGGCAGTGCTGTGGGCAGTGCTGTGAACACTCCCATTTTCCGTGAGACGGAGATTTATAGTAGATCTTATTTCTATAAATCCATAAACAAAAATATATTTTAACTAGCCTCATATATTGTTGAAAAGTATGATTAAGTTAAGACAAATTGATACAAACTATATTGAAAGGTATGAATGACAGTGATTCACCCGTTAAAGAGATATTTGAGGATAAGTTGCGCCACAAGTTTTTGACCGCACTACAACCAACCAACCAACTAACCAACCAACCAAATCAATCAGTAAATCAATCAATCTGTCAATCCATTCATCCATCAATCAATCACCTAGCAGGGTGAAGGCCTCTTTAATCTGTCCCCTCCAGCGAGTGATGTTATTCTCATAGAACTGTACAGCCGGTATGTCGTGGGGGCCGGCTTCTGAGCTGTAGCTGTGACAGTATCTAGTGGAGGGAAGGTCAGTTGTTGTAGTTGTTGTTGTTGTTGCTGCTGTTACTGTTGTTGTTGTTGTTGTTGTTGTTGTTGATGATGATGTTGTTGTTGTTCTTGAAGATGTTGTTGTTGTTGTTATTATTATTGCTGCTGTTATTGTTGTTGTTGTTGCTGATGCTGTTGTAGTTGTTGTTGTTATTGTTGTTGATGTTGTTGTTGTTATTGTTGCTGATGCTGTTGTTGTAGTTGTTGTTGGTGTTGGTGTTGTTGTTATTGTTGCTGATGTGTTGTTGTTGTTGTTGTTGTTGTTGTTGTTGTTGTTGTTGTTGTTGTTGTTGTTGTTGTCAATGCTGTCACTATTGTTGTTGTGGTTGCTACTGTTGGAGGTGTTGGAGTGATGTTGCACCTAAAGTTACTGGTAAGTAAATAATGTTTCATGATGATGGTGACGACCACAACGATAACTATGATGATGATGAAGATGATGATGATGATGATGATGATGATGATGATGATGATGATGATGA